GTTGATCTCTCTTCTGTAAAATTTCTTCAGGTCTCAATATCAAAACCACCAGGTTGAGCATTTTTTATTGTGTGGATGGCTTCTTGTCGCTCCTAGCTCACTGTAAGTGGGTCTGAGGATTTTACTTTTCAAATATGTCCTTGTACTCAGTAAGCCTTCAGAAGAACAAGTTCACAGGCTTCTAATAATTCTTTCTTTCACTGCCAGCTGAATTAGACAGCAAGTAACTCCTTCTTCCCTGCCAAGCCTACCCCCATCTTTTTTTTTTTTTCTTGGCTATTAGAAAAGTCTTTTCTTGGTTGGCACAGACACTACAGTCTGTTCAACTAGTTGACATTTACTGAGTTCTCTTTTGTTTTTAACTGCAGTATAGCTGATTTACAATGTTGTGTTACTTTCAGGTGTACAGCAAAGTGATTCTGATATATTAAATGTATATGTAATATATTTATTCTCTATATAATATATATTCTTTATATATAATATATAGTATATATTCTTTTTCAGATTCTCTTTCATTAGAGGTTATCACAAGATATTCAATACAGTGCCCTATGCTATATAGTAGGTCCTTGCTGTTTATCTGTTTTATATGTAATAATGTGTATCTGTTAATCCCAAACTCCTAATTTATTATTGAGTTCTTAACATGCACCAGGCACTGATCTAAATGCTTTTTGTGTATTAACCCACTCATCGTGACAGTAACCTATGAGCTAAGTCCTAGTTTCATTCCCATTTTGCAGAAGAAACTGAATGTACCAGTGCATGAGGATTTGACTGAGTGAGTGAGTAAGTGCTTTGCTGATGGATAATACTATTAGCAACAACAACCATACAAATACCTTATGCTTGCATCACACTAGAGCTTTATGTACATTATGTCATTGCCACTCACAATTAGCAGATAGGCACTGATGTCCCTCTTTTATAGAAGAGGAAACCATGGCAGGAAACCAAGGGGTGAGTGATTCTCAACAGCCACACAGCCAAGTGCTGCCTGTGCTCCTGAGAGAACATTGTATTCACTCCACTCTAAGATCCTGGGGGCAAGGGAGAGGGGAGGGTCATGGGGAGAAAAACTCCAGTACACACAAAAGATAACTCTACAAACAGTAGGTAAACAACAGGAGCTGATCAAGCGGAGGCTGGACAGGAACCCAGAACTTTGACTCCTAATCCAGGGCTCTTTCCTTTTACCAAGATGGTGGGAAGCAAGTCTTGGGTCCAGACCCAATAGCAGTCTTGATTGGGGATCTTAATGCCAAAGAAAGTAGAGCTCACAGAGATCATTTTCACTCCTCTGCTGTTTCCACATTTTCTACAATGAACATGTGCTACTTTGATAATGAGAAACAAACAAATGGATGAAGAGAGGTGGCAAAATGCATCCATCTGAGGGCTGGGGCTACTAGAGGATGGGTTGGCTTTGGGATGGCTCTGGGCCCCTGCCTGGCATTTTGGGGCACTCTCTGATCCACCCCCACAGACCACCTGGCCCCACTTTATGGGTAGGTGGGGGAGGCAGGGCTGTGATGAGCATGGACAGACAAAGGAATTCCCGGGTCCCTGAAACTCTCTAACATTGGAAACTAAATGCTGTATGTGCAGTTTTCCAAGAAATAGGCCCACACTTTTTTAAAAGGGGCACCACAACCCTCCAACGGGTAAGAACAACAAATCACAATGGTGAATCAGGTGAGGGTTAGGATGACCAGTCACATGAGGGTCAGGAAACATAAAAATCTTCTTGCCCCATTCTGAGTAGAACTGGCAGAGGGGAGAGAATAACGACTAGAACAAGGTCCTGCCTCATAGGTTCATATTGTTCATTTAAAGTCTGCTTTTTCCCCTGAACCCACCCCCAACTCCCATTCCAAGGCTGTAGAGGGGCAGGCATGATCATTTACACAACTCCAGTCTCAGACACTCTCCTCCTCCTCCTCCTAGGCCTGTGGCCTATGAATTCTAGTCCTGATCTGAGTAGGACTGTGCACCCACAGCTTCCCATCTTGCCTCCTGACCCAGGGTCTAAAACCCTGATTTATGCTATGGCCAACTTTCCTCCCAGGTGCCTCCTAAAAAGCCAGCTGCTTTCAAGTCTCAACAAGCACTGGATTCCTTTCCACCAGCGTTGACTGAGCTCCTGCCATGTGCTGGGTGTTATGACGGAGTCACAGATGGTGGGATAAGTCCTCAGTGTGGCCTGGGAGCCTTCAGGCTAATGACAGGACAGATAACACTCACGTGTCAGGTTGGGGGAGGGGGAAACTGCACAAGAGTGAGAACCCCCAGGAGGGGGACCGGTTAACAGGCTGAGGGATTAAGGGGTCAGCTTCTGGGAGGTGCAACAGTAGTTCTGGAGCTGGTGTGTGAAGGTGGAGAAGGATTCCTACACAAAGGAATGGGGGAAGGCACTCAAGTCCTGTGGGAAAGAGTGGCGGCAGCAAAATACTGGGCAAGTTTAGAAAACAGGCAGTTTTGTGTCGCTGGAGCCTGGGGCTGGGGGTCAGGGGAAGGAAGGAGAGAAGCAAGGCTAAAGGTGGGTTATGGCCAGTTGGCCAGAACAAGGACCTTGGTGTTCCACTAAGGAATGTGGATTTTATCAGACAGTGCGTAGGTGTCACCAAGCGTTTTTGAGCAGAGCAGGTGGGCTCTACGCTCTGATCTAAGCTTGAAAAGATCACATTGCAGAGGACAAGAGAGCAAGGAGAGGGCTTGGAGATTGGGAAACAGGATGCTGCTGTAGGGCCCAATCTGGGGCGAGGGGATTAATGGGGCCCTTTAACTACAGCCATGGGCAGGACCTGCTCCATAATTTGTGGGGCCCAGTGCAAAAGGAAAATTCAGGGTCCCTTGTCCAAAAATTATTAAGAATTTCAAGAGAGCAGAGCATTAAGCCAAGTCTGGTGCCCTTCTAAGTATGGCCTTGTGCAGCTATACAGGTCACACACCCACAAAGCTGGCCGGGGGCCACGGGGCTAGAAAGGGCAGGTTAGAAAAAACATCTGGAAGGCAGAGTCCTGGGACTTGGTGATCTGTTGGGCATGGGAAGTGACAGAGCAATCCGGCTGACCTTCCTACACTGCTGGTCAGGCCACTCTAGCACTATCCCCTTGAGCAGCCCATGATCAGTTTCTACTTATCAGTATGTTTAAATTTCACCCCTGCCCCCTCCTCCTGCTCCCTACCCAGACCTGTTTCTGTAGGGTCCCTGTCTAAAGGTGTCACCAATCACTCAATCAACCTCTACTCCTCTCTCCCCATCCCAACCCTTCTGGCGATTTACTTCCTGAATGTCTCTCCCATCTGTGTGGCCTGCTATCACTGCCAAGTTCCTGCAGGCCCTTATCAGCTCAGGCCTGGATTACCCAGAAAAGCCTCCTATCTGTCTCCCTCACTCCGGCCTGGACCGCTCCCCCTATTCTCAAATAAAACATCCATCCTTCACAGTGCCACTTCAGGGAGGCCCCCGAGTGCTCACCTGACCAGGTCACTGAGTAACACCCCTCATCCGGGGCTGCTCAGCCAAAGGAGAAGATCCAAATGCCTTAAATGGCACACAAGTCCCTCTGTCGCCTGATCCTGCTTAATTTTCTAATAAATACCAGAAATGCCTTAGTCTCCCACGTACCTCCAGCACATACCATGCTGGGTTCTTGTTTTTTCCTCTACCTCAAGCAGTTCTCTCTGCCTGGAATGCCCTCCCCTTTCCCTCTCCAGGGCCTGGCTCACCTCCATTTGTTCGTTGCAGTTCACCTCAGCTCTCCTCTGCTTTGGTGGGGTGGGGGTTTCTCCAGGGCCCCACCGCTACCCCATGGCACACACCTCCACGCTGGATGCTCCTCCACTCTGACTACAGGACCTTAAAGAGGCCCAACCTCCTCTTTGGGCTGGGGGGCAGCTGGTGCAGTGTCCTGCTCACTGGCCATGTGGGTGCGCCACACATGTGTGGTTCTAGGCTGAAATGTCTGCAAGTGTATGGTGACACTGGAGGAGGAACAGATTGCAGGGAAAGTGGGCACAGATAACCCCAGAGAGGAAGAAAACCCCTACATCACTTCTTCATTAAGACTCCACTGGCAGGGTGAGGCCAGCGCCTCTGACTGAAGGCAACTGAGACCCAGAGGCAATGCCAGCTAAATGGTATCCGATTTCATTGCATTCGATTTTAGAATTCGATTTCTGCTTCCCTTTAAAAATCTCATTCCCCTCTGTCAGTAGTCAACAAGCCCCTCCCTAGTGGAGGCAGGCTTCTTCCCTCAGGCTCACAATAAAATAGTAGGTCTTGAGTTTGAGGGGAGAAGCATGTTTCCGTCACACATGTCCCTGCAGCTAACAGGGCACAGAGCCGACCCTTAATAAGTACTTGCTGAATGAGTGAATCGTGTCCAGTTCCCGAAGACGGGATGGATGCCTGAAGCTGCTGGGGACTGGTAGGGGCAGACAGCCTGGGATTATACTTGATCCACAGATAATCCCCCAAATCCAGAAGCCACCTGGACAGTTGGCTGGGCTGAGCACCATCAACCGTGCATGTCGATGCTGCAGCTGATTTCATGACAGATTTTCCTGGGGCCAGAAAACTGTCCCTTAAAACACAAATATTCTAATTATTATTGGGAGGGTGACAGAGAAAAAGACCACCCAAGGTGCAGGATCCATTTGTGGGGATTAATTGCTGCTCTTTTCTCACCATCTTTACTTTTGGGTACTTTTATTATTGAAAATTTCAAAACATAGAGAAAAGTAAAGAACCCCCAAGTATCCATCACTTCAACGATTACCAACACAAATCCAATCTCGAGTCATGTACAGCCCAGCCCTTGAAGCAAATCCCAGCTATCATCTCATTTCCCGCGTAAAGACCGGTAAGGCTCGAAATGTACTTCTGATTCATCTGGGGGCACTGGCCGAGGCCGCCCCTTGCTTTGCCTACCGCGGTGCCTGTCACAGCCCCCAGCAGGTTCTGAACCTACGTCTATGAAACTCAAAGCGCGATGGTGCGGCGCCGGCTCTGCCTCCTCCGCTTCCTCCTCTTCCAGCACAGCGTGGGTCACCTCGGCTTCGTGGTGTTCCTGACACCCCACTGGCAGCCCCCGGTGATGCGCGAGTGAGTGTCTCTGCTCAATGCCGCAGAGAGCGCAGGGAGGCGCCAGCCACTTCCTCTTTCCCCGGCTGACTAACGCTCAGCGCCGGCCCCGCGCGTCCCGCTCTCCGGGGGCGTGGCCACAGCCAGAAGGGGCGGGGAAATACCCATATTCGGCCTTATATGGGCAGCCACGTCAGGGGCCGCACACTCATTCATATAAAATGCGGCGCTGTTGGCGGAATCCCCGGCTTCTGGGGCGGCGAGTGGCCGGGCCGGGCGCCTAGCGTGCGGGCGGGAAAGAA